CTCTTGCTATCCCACAGTTTAAGTTGCTCTCTCACGTTAGCTCCCTCCGATTGCCCTCAGGGCATTCGGCCCGGTCCTTACCCTAAGCAATGCCGCCTGCTCCTCTCCGTTCAGCCCCCACTTGCTGGTTGCGGATGCGAGGGTCTGGGATACTTTTCTGCTGGGAGTTGCTTTTAGGCATGTAATCTGTGGGTTTTATTTATTTTTCCTCCCGATTAGGTTGCCCTCCGAGATTCGAAAACTTCCTCCAGACCCGCAGGTGAGAGGGTTTCCTGGTGTTTGGAAACTTCCTCTATTAGGACTCCCTTCCCTGGACGGATTTCCGTCCCTAACTCTTTTGTCTCTCTTTTTATCTTTTATATTTTGTCCTACCTCCTTTCGAAGACAATGGGCTGCTTTTCTGGGCACCTGATGTCCTCTGCTAGCGATCAATAGTTTTGTGGAGTTTGCTCAGCATTCAAATCTGTTTTTTTTTTTTTTTTTAAATTAGAGAATATTATTTAGAAACCACTGAGCACTGGGTGTGTTCATTGCTCCTGGGGTGTCATTATTTCTAGGTCACATTAGTGATTAGAGCTAGATGGTATATGTATACCTACTACCCCTTGTATACAGATGTATCTAATTGTTTCTGTTTCTTTATTTGTATATATATTAGGATAATGGTGAGTTTATATTGATGTGTCTGACTTTAATCCAGTACCACAGGGTTTTAGAATGCCTTCTTTGCTTGCTTTACTGTAACATCCTTCTTCCATAATGAAAAACCTTGCACCCACTATCCATTTACTTATATTCAACCCACTGTACCTGTTCCTGTACTATAAATACATTGTAACCTATATTCCCACAAGAAACAAGTTTACCAGTTCTAATATTGTACTAATTTAACTATTTCTATTTTAGTGGACAAATCATAGGTTCTTGTTTACTTTTATTATGATGTGATTTAAGTGTTTTTCATATTCTTTAATCTGGGATGTGTTTGTATGTCAGCATGATTGATTAAGATGATGGATTTTGTCTCCACTTTAATGTTTCCATTCTACTCCACACTTCTGATAGTCTAAAAGGTTATGTTCTCTCTTCAGCAATTTATTACACATTTCTACAAGAAGAAGTATAGACTTATTAAAAGTTTATACTTACTGTTAAAGGTTTTATTATATGTAAAAGAGACAAGTTGAAGGAAATAAGATTTGCAGCATCTTCTTGCCCCAAAGTTCTGGCTCAGGTGCTTTTTAAAAAATTGCCTTAGGGCAAGACATCTAAACTCAGTTTCTCCATTTGCTCAGTAAGTCTTGACTGTGTAGGCTTGCTTGATACTTGGTTTTCTTTTCTTGGCTACTTTTCTAGGACATCCTGTTGACCCATTCTTGTTATTAGTGCCAAAGATCATATGCCTGTCAGTAAAGATATTATGGACCCAGGAAATGGGACTGACTTAACTAAAGCTTTCATTCCCTAGACACTTGGTTCCCAAATTCCTGTGGGGAAGAAAGAAGTGTGGGTTTAAAAAGCTATACTAAGAGCTAGGTCTTGATCATCATCGTGGTCAACTTCTAACTTGAAGTCTGACCTTGGGCCATCACTTCTACCTCCAGACCGCAAATCCTTCATCTAGAAAGTGAAACAGTTCCATTCGATAACTCCTAGATGCTGGGAGGGATTGGGGGCAGGAGGAGAAGGGGACGACAGAGGATGAGATGGCTGGATGGCATCACCGACTCGATAGACATGGGTTTGAGTAAACTCCGGGAGTTGGTGATAGACAGGGAGGCCTGGTGTGCTGCGATTCATGGGGTTGCAAAGAGTTGGACACGACTGAGCGGCTGAACTGAACTGAACTGAAAGTTCCTTACGGCTGTGGTTTTATCATCAGAGACAGTGAAATACCTGGTATACGGCCATGCCATCCTGAATGCGCCGGTTCTCTTCTGATCTCAGAAGCTAAGCAGGGTCTGGCCTGCTTTAGTACTTGAATGAGAGAGAGTGAAATACCTGGCTGGCAGTTTTAATCTCAGTAATTAAGGTGCTCTGGCAAGAACTGGAAATGGTCAGCCTCTTTGAAATAGGCCTATTGGGCCATTCTTTATCATCCTTTTAATTTGTTTAATTAAAAACAGCACACACACTCTGTGTGGGATGAACACATTCTGAAATGTGAGGTCCATAGGTAGAATGAGGAGGGCTCAGATGGTACCATGTAAAAGGCATAGTGTACTCTTGAGAACGAACCATTGTGGTAGTAACTTTGGAGAATCAGAACTGGGCCGTTTATTATTTGTTGTTCATAAATCAGGGACTTATTAAGTGACATTTCTTTTACAGCTAGTATGTAGAATCTGTGAACAGTACAGAAAAATAGCCAAAGTGAAGAGAGTATGATGGCTTAAGTGTGATTAAGGCTCAGTGAGTTGTAATAAAGAAGCTTTAGTTCTCAAAGCATTAGTCTTGTACTGCTAATAGCCTTCAGAAAAGTCTGTTATTTCTCACAAGCATTGAGTTTCCTGGGCTAAGAGAATGAAACATATGACCTATAGCCTAGTATGCTATCCATACCATGTATTTGCAAGAGGATTTTGGTAAACAGATGGGTGGTAGACAAAAGTAGGAATTAATGTACTGTAAGACAAGGCATTTTGCTTGGAAAAAATGAATAATAGAGTGAAGAAATGTTGCCTTTGGTTAGAAAGTGCAAAATAAGAGAGCACAGAATGAGTCTCCCTCAGGCTGCCTGCCATTTAATTGTTCTTTAAAAGCCACATCATATCAATTTATGAGATTAAACTTGTATGAAAGTCTTGAATGATAGTCCTCTGACCCACCATTCCTGGCTCCTGTTACACATTTCTAAATGAAGTGTACTCTGCCTGTCTTTGTTTGCAGTGTTAAATCAGCAAGTTGAGCTTTTATGATACTAGTTTATGTAAAGATTCACACTTGCTTTAACAGTGTGTCTGGAATGGATGTCCATTCCTCTGATCCATACTAATGTTATTAGCAGTGTTAGCTTCCTCTTCACCATAGGTAAAAAGAGTTGCTCATTATAGAAGTGAACAGTAGATGTCACTGCATCTCCACTTACTACGGCTCTGGCTCAGTTTATTTGGATACAACCAAGTTCTTAATATAGCTTCCAAATCACTAATCTTAAATCACGTATTTATGGCTGACAATTAAGATCCCCTTCCTCAGATATAGAATTGAAAATTGAGAACAAACATAACCCAGGGGAGTTTTCTTCAATTTCCTTCTTAGTGTATTTGTTCTAGGCTTATATATTATTTATACAGTAGTCCCCCACTTATCTATGGGGGGGATATGTTCTGAGATCTCTAGTATGGATTCTGAAACCACAGACAGCATTGAACCCTATATATACTGTTTTTCCCTGTACGTACCTAACTGTGATAAACAGTTAAGATAATATACTGTAATAGGTTATGTGAATGTAGTCTCTCTTTCAAAATAGCTTATTGTCCAAATTTAACACCTTTTCCATCTTACCAAAGCACTTATCACTCGTTATGGCCCTCACTTTTGCAGTTTTAAGTGTGACAGCAAAACTAGCATGAGTTTGCTTTTTCCTTCACAGTTTCATGATTAGAAGATTTGTTACTGTAAGTCTTAGCAACCTCAGTGTATGGTTTTGCTTTTCTTTTCTTACTCAGTTGAAAACTTTTCACCTTTTCAGTTGAAGCACGTTATGACTTCTGTTTTGGCATATCTGAATTGGCCAGCATCAGTACTTTTGCGCTTTGGGGCCATTATTAAGTGCCATAAGGGTTACTTGAGTACAAGTACTTGCTGACAAGGAAAGGAAAATAAAGAACTGAATTATGACCAAAAGTCATACAATGCATCTTTCAAAACAAACCTCTTACGGTTTGAGTGTAGATGGTGCAGTTTCCATATATGACAGAAAGGCGAAGTTGGTGTTAACTTGAATTATTTTAGAAAGCCTGAGGCATACTGAATTTGATTTCTGTTGAACATGTTGAGTCACTCAGTCGTGTCCAACTCTTTGCAACCCCATGGACTGCATCACGCCAGGCTTCCCTGTCCATCACCATCTCCTGGAGTTTGCCCAAATTCATGCCCATTGAATCAGTGATGCCATTCAACCATCTCATCCTCTGTTGTCCTTTTCTCCTCCTGCCGTCAATCTTTCCCAGCATCAGGGTCTTTTCCAATGATTCAGCTCTTCACATCAAGTGGCCAAAGTATTGGAGCTTCAGCTTTAGCATCAGTCCTTTCAATGAATATTCAAGGTTGATTTCCTTTATCATTGATTGGTTTGATCTCCTTGTAGTCCAAGGGACGGACTCTCAAGAGTCCTTCAGAACCACAGTTTGAAAGCATCAATTCTTCAGTGCTCAGCCTTCTTTATAAACCAACTCGTAGATGGTGAAAATAGCCAGGGTGATATCTGTTCTCATATGTCAGGGTCAGTGCTGGCTTCCTCCTGGTAGAACTGTTAATAGTTACCTCGTTTACTCTAAGTTGTCCTAGTTTGGACAATACGTGGTCACTCTAAATTGCCCAGTGGTGGTTAATAAGTTGCAGTTCTAGTCATTATAGGCACTTCTTTATTTTTTTTAATAAACTCAAGAGTTATGCCTGCCCTGAGTTTTCTGAGTTAAATCTACAAAACAAAGCAAAACCCATGAGCTTGTAATTGTGGAAATATTGCCTTTGGGTTTGTACATATATGGTTATGCATCAAAATCAACTAGGGACCTTTTTACAAATAGTTTCATGGGTCTCAACCACAGACCTCTACTGATTTTGTACCAGAGTTTGAACTTGACATTACTAAAAATGTAGAACTGCTTGCAATGCAAATGTAATAGATTATTCTGTCAGCAAGCTTCTAAACTAGCATGTAGAGGAACATTTCTTTGTGTGGTTTGGGTGGTATTTGGGGTTCTCTGTGATGGCTGCTTTGGGCCTTGAGGGTATGCCGGGCGTTGACATGAGTTGCCTTTTTGTTTCAGATGTCATCTGGGTCATTCTCAGTGTGGAAGTGGGTGGACTTTTAGGAGTCACGCAGCAGCTGTCATCTTTTGAAACGGAGTTCAACACACAGCCACATCGCAAGGTAGAAGGAAACTTCAACCCGTTTGCCTCTCCCCAAAAGAACCGACAATCAGATGAAAACAACTTAAAAGACCCTGGGGGTTCCGAGTTCGACTCGATCAGCAAAATCACATGGGCTCCTGCTCCTGACCAAACCGAGCAAGATGAGAATAGACCCTCAGAGAACTCTGTAAATCTGTCCCCCAGCAGTCACGCAAACAACTTATCAGTAGTGACTTACAGTAAGGTAGGTGCCCTCGGAGAAGAGGAGAAGGGGTAGGTGGTGGGCGTTGGGATTTGTGATACCCCTTCTGGCAGACCTAGAAGCCTAGAATGTTCTTTAAGACTGCTTAGCTCTCCTGCCAATGCAATAGCACAAAAACCTACCCCTTCTCCCCTCCCCCCCTCCCCATCTCCAGGTCCTGTGGGTGTTAACTCCTCCATCCACATTTTATAAATACTGCTGTCTCTCTGCTCTGGTTTGGGTGTTGAAAGAACAGAGTTCTTTACCTTTAGCATTTAAAAAAAAAAAAAAGAAAGTCAAAATATCACCAGGCATTCTTCCAGTGTGAATGTGTACTAAATGTAGAGCAATAACACACCTTTGCAATTTGTTCCTACTGTGTTTTTTTTTGGTTTTTGGTAGAGTGTTTTTCCTGAAGAAAAAGACAGACTTAATTATTTATCCTATATGTTGTTGGGCTTCCACTTTATTTACCTAGTTTCCAAGTCTTGATTATCTTTCCAGTCCCTTGTGGCCTATCTGCCTCCTCACCCACAACCCAGAGTGGCCCAAGTGATATTTTGACTTTTCACGTGTGCAGAATAAGTGAGAGAATTGTTTATTGAGTTAATCATAATTTTAAATATTCTGATTGTTCTAAGACTGTCTTCTGGGTGTTTGATCTCTTGATCTGTTTCTCTATGCTTGCTGACTACACAGCGCCTTCCATATTCTGCTAAGGGTGATGACGGTTCCTGGTTGTTTTTGGTTGGTTGAATAAAGCCCTGTGCTGCTGAGAGCTAACTGTTGTAGGTGATTTGTGTGACAGAGCCTGTGAGCACTGCTGTTCCTTCTTTGATTAATAATGTGATGCATTAGGCTTAGCCTCCCACTTCGTATAACTGTTAAGTCTTTGCTTGGTTCATGTTGGCATTCACCCTCAATATTTTAAAAATAAAATTGATCCTTATTTGAGGGACAGCTTGCTCTGTTTTAAGAATGGCATTTTTCTGATCTGTGCTTTATATGTGGTCTACAGCCACAGGCAAATTAAGAAAAGAAACTTGATGATGTGAACTCTTTCTCCACATGGTCTAAAGAGGGACTTCATTGAGTAGAAGTGTAACAAGATTGATTTATTAGTTTGATGGTCATTATAAAGGATTGTGTGGAATCATGTTAGTCATACAGGATATAAGAAGTAAATAGGCGAGGCAATGGCTTATAGTTGAGGAAAGTCTTCACGTCTTAACACTAACAGATTTTTCCTCTAAGTTCCTGTTGCTCCAGATAGCTCTTCCTTAAGTTTAACCCTTCAGGGTGCAGCTGTTGCAGGTGGTACAGGCCCTAGGGCAGGCACGCCCTGTTAGGAGAACTTGGAAGCAGTTGAGCGTGCTGTGAAGATGAGAGTTGCAGGAAGCGGAACCTGCTGCTCCAGGGCTTTCTGTATTGGAGGCCCCTCCACCCAGTTGAGCTCCATGGCCCGCCCGTCACTGTAGCCTGAAAGGGCTGCTGTTCCTGGCCAGAGCACTGCGCTTGTTTTCCTGGGTTGTGAACCTGTTAATTATTTTTTGATCCTTTATGGCTTTAGGGACTGTTGCCTTTTAAGTCTGTCATTGCCCTGGCCTGGGTGGAGGTGGCGGCTTGTTTCATAAACTCTGTAGGATCATTTAGAAATAGCATTTGCAAGAACCACAGAGAAAAGTTTCTCATTGGAGATGATATGCAAGACTGTTGCCTATAATTGTGTTGAGAATGTGGCACTTGGACCCCAAAGAGAAATCAGAGCCTCCTTTTCTTCTTAAGTGAATCAGAATCTTATTCAGAAAGCACTTGTGTGAGCACTAGCAAGTCCTCCAATAGCATTTCTGGCTAAAATGGAGTCAGCTCTGCCTCTGAGGACTCCTTAGAAATGAGGTAGAGGATAGACCGTCACCAGTAAGGATTTATCGACACATCTGCGCTAACGTACAAATCCGTGTACATTATTGAATATGGAGACGTGAAGGATAGAAGTTATCCCTACTAGCTAGCAGTTCTCAGTACAGTGGGGGAGATGAAAGAGGCATGCCTTTCAGTCCAGGTGAAGTGTGAATTTGGTCAGTAGAGCACCGCACAGTCAAAATGTATGATTTGTGTGCATGGCTGGGGGTTAGTTAAGAAGGCAGAGATAAAGGAGAGAGGGAGCTGGTGTAAAAGCACAGGTTTGGAAAGACAGGGAGGATGATGATAACAGAGCAGTTGCAGTGCTGAAGGAAGAATACTGAGTGAGGGAGTGTGGTTAGGAGTTACGAGTGGGGGAGACGCTCAGTTAGTTGCGCTGTGTTCATTTAGATGAAAAAGTTTGGATAGAATAATTACAAATGGCTCTGAAAAGAATTGGGACTGTAGTTAAGTGGATATCTTCAAGCAGGGATCATTCCTATTTCTAAACATTTGTGTTTGGCTTAAGAATATAGATTTATTTATTTATAAGGCAAGACTCTTTAAGGTTCTGAAGGGGTATACTTGACCAAGTGATGAGATCAAGTAGAGACTAGAGTTATTTTTTAATCATTCCTGTGTGCCAGGTATGCTGCCAAGTGCTTTAGATGTATTATCTCATATTTTGATAAGAAAACGAAAGCTCTGAGGGGCTGACTGGCCCCAGTATCACACAGCTGGTGAGGGACAGAGCTGGGATTCCAATCCAGGTGCCACATTACTGAAGGTATTACTGAAGGTAGGTGAACCTGGGCTTTGCTTAGATCATCCTTTGTTTTGTTTTTTCCTGTGATCAGAAGCATTAACTGAGTCAATGACAAGTGTCATCAAGGTGTGAAAGACACAGAACTTGAAGTGAGAGGCTCTAAAGTAAACTGGGGGTTGCCTGTGGCATTTTTTTTTTTTGATGGGGGTGGGGGAGTTCCTCTATTTGTTGAGTCTTTACAGTAAGTGATTTCTTTTTTTTAGTTGATAAAAATAAAAACTTTTTACTCTCAGGGTGCACCAACCATGTGGTGTTAATAATAAATAGCTCCCTTTTATTTATGAATGAGTGGAAAGACTGAGCTAGCCCCCTCGAAATATAGAGTTAGAGCAGGGGTGTTCAGTTCACCCCAGGTATCATCTTTATTGGGTAGATAGGCAGAGGACCTTGTGCCCTGGTATCAGGGATCACTGAGTTGGCAATAGATTTGATTTACTCTAAAGAAATTCCCTGCCTTGCCTGAAGGCTGGAGAGAGCATGATGCTCTGGGAAGCCCATAACCACAGTTTTAGGAGACCGGTCCAGTTTCCTGCTGCTTCCATAGTTACAGTTTAACTTGCTAAGGTTGGTAGGATGAGATGAAAAGATTGCTCCATGCACCTTCTGTGAGGGCTGAGTAGATAACATAATGGCACATCTGTCAGTGCCAGGAGCTGGACACCCCGGGATCCCTTCCCCTACCTCCCTTGAGTAATCCAAGCTCTCTGGACCCAGTGCTGTGTGCTGTGGGGAGGGAGTCAGGGAGCTCTGGGTGGGAACATCTGTCCTAGCTTCATCCCTCAACATCCAGAGGGGCTGGGCCCTCCCTGTGTGAGAACTGTCAGAGGGAGTCAGAAAAGTGAGTAAGTATATGCTGACCTGCTCCAGGGATTCATAAATCTGACTGCTTTTGTTAAAAATTGGCTGGCCTCTTTGTTAGCTCAGTTGTGGCTGACCTGTCCCAGGTGAACAGGCAGACCAAGTATTGGTGCTGTTTTAATGAACCCTTTTACTTGATTCGCTCAAGAGCCTGTGAGGACAAACAGTCACACTGTTGACTCAAGGCTACTCTTGCCATGCGTTCTAACGGTGACTCATCTCTGGAGGCCGGGGTAGCTTCTATTTGGACAGTGTTAGATAGTAGCAGAAAACAATCTATAGAGGTACGGAATGAGAAAATAAACCCTGTTGAAATTAGATACCTCTTTTTCTTACTTACTAGTAATTTTTAAAATTTCTCAGTGTTTTTTAAGAAGGGCCTTACAGAGGAGTAAGGTACAAACCAAATGGTCTTATTCAGGGTAGCTGGAAGTATGACTGTGACTGGCCAAAGCCCAGGGCCTACTCTCAGGACAGCCCAGGTGCTGCTTCCTTCCTCTAGCAGTTGAGTATGATTCACATTGGAGGAGCTGAAAAGAATCTCAGATTCATTTATTCATTTTGTTACTTGGACTATACCTCTTATTTTGTATTTGTTCTTTTTTTTTTTTTTTTTTAATGTTTGGAGCTGCTGTTTGTCATATACTCCTCCTTTAAACTGATTGCAGCCTGAACCACGGTTATTACTTCCGCCAAGTGCTGGTTCAGAAGGAGAAACGTGTTATTATCTTTGGGGGAGGTTCCTCGTGCTCTTCGAGCGTCAGCCACTGCCGAGTGCCATCTGCCCTGCCTGCCCACAATTTCCACCTGCTCCTCTTCCTCTCTCTCTGACAATCGCCCTTTAGTATATCTTGGATCTGGAGCTGAAAAAGTTAGTCAGCTTTTATTATATCAGAAATCACCTTTCTTCTAACCTACCGCAAGGAAGAGCTCATTTTTCGCTGCTTAGGTGAGGGTTTAGAAACGTAGGCAGAGGATGAGATGGTTAGATAGCATCACTGACTCAGTGGACATGAATCTGAGAAAACTCCAGGAGATATGAAGGACAGGGAGGCCTGGCGTGCTACAGTCCATGGGGTCATAAAGAGTCAGACACAACTTAGCCACTGAACAAAAACAGGAGGTTATAGGGAGAAGTTTAGAAAAGGCAAATCTGCTTTATGGGCCTGAGGATGTAATGGCTTGTGGATCTTATTATCTACACAGTCCAGTCAGTGTAACATAATAATAAGAAATGATTTAATGGAAGTGGGCCCAACATTTGCTCGGTTCAGAGGGCACTGAATTGGACCCACAGGCTGGTGGTTGGTGTCCTTAGCTGGACTGCTGGCAGTGGAGGGCAGCACGTCCTTCCCGCTGCCTCATGCTCGGGTGCAGCCCCTTTCCCTGAGAGGCATAAAGATGGCGCAAAGAAGCT